TTCCACATATCAGAGAGAATATGCACCTTTTGTCTTTCTGAGCTTGGCTTACCTCACTTAACATGATCTGTTCTAGTTCCATCCATTTCCATTATTATATTCTTTCTAATGGCTGCGTAAAGTTCCATTATGTATAGGTACCACATTTTTTGATCCACTCATCTATTGCGGGCATCTGGGCTGTTTCCATATTTTGGCTATTGTGAATAGTGCAGCAGTGAATATGGATGTGGAAATGTCTTTATCATATTCTGGTTTGTGATGTTCTGGGTAGATGCCCAGGAATAGTATGGCTGGGTCATGGGAAAGGTCTATGTTTAGTTTTTGAAAAACTCCATACTGCTGTCCATGGTGGTTGTACTAGTTTACATTCTCTCCTACAGTGCAGTAGGGTTGCTTTTCCCCCACAACCTTGCCAACATTTGTTGTTCCAATTTACAATGTTGGCCAATCTAACTGGGGTAAGATGGAATCTGAGTTGTTTTGATTTGCATTTATGGCCAGGGATGATGAACATTTTCTCATGTTTCTTTGTCCATTTTACATCTTCTTTTGAGAAGTCTTTCCTTAGCTCCCTTGCCCATTTAATGATTGGTTTAATAGGTTTGGGAGGCATTAGTTTCTTGAGCTCCTTGTATATATTGGATATTGGGCTTTTGTCTGATATTGCTGGTAAAGATCTTCTCCTTCCATGACAAACAAAATTAAAAGAATTCATGACTACTAACCCAGCATTATAAAGAATTCTAAAGGGAGGAATACAATCTGAAGAAAATAACCAAAATCAAAGAAACATATCAGGCACAAATCACTAGAAGATCAATTTAATAATCACAGGAAAAGGAAAAAAACAAAATACAGGAAATTATGACACATCTCTCTATAATAATCCTAAACATCTTGGACTCAGTTCTCCAATCAAAAGAAGAATAGCAAATTGAATAAAAAACCAAGATCTATCCAATGTTTAGGTTCCTGTTTTGTGTTATTTTTGAATTAAAACTTCCACTAATTATAATAAATATCTTTTAATATATTACCTGTATGTCATATTTATTAAATAAATAAAATATATCAATCTCTGATCTTAGATAAAAAATTCAGATACAGACATTTGCACAAAATAGCATAGCATTAAATATAAAAAACCATCAAGAGGGGCTGGGGGTTTAGCCCAGCGGAAAGGTGCCTGCCCGGCGTGCGCAAGGCCCTGGATTCGGTCCTCAGCCCTGGAAAAAAAAACAAACCATCAAGAACATCATAAAGGCTGTCAAACTAACTTATATCAGAAAACAGCCCTATTGCAAAGAAGAAGAGGAGGAGGAGGAGGAGGCAGCGGCGGCAGCAGACTCCCAAGCTTAGGGTCTCTCTTTCCTCCACCACCCCGCAAAAATAAATAAAGACAAGGAATAAAATAGCATATAAAACCTTTCTAGTATTTTACCATTATTTGCTCCGTAGAAAAAGCGGTTACATTTCAGGCACAAAAATAACAAAAATCACTTCTATGTAGACCTTCAAAAAAAGAGAGAGGGACCGTCTGTTGGCTCTCTTCCTGGGTTAGCTATGTCCTTAGCTGTGCAGAAACTTGTTATTGTAATGTAGTCCCATGTGTCATGTCTCTCTCCTATCTGTGGGGTTCAGGGGACTCTTCAAGAAGTTTCTACCTATAAGTTCTGTTTCTCCTTCTCTGGCAGTAGTTTCAGTTTCGGGTCTGACGCAGCGATCTCGATCCACTTCGAATTGGTATTAGTGCCTGGTGACCCACTGAGATCCACTTTCAGTTTTCTGCATATGGATGTACTGTATTTTTTTTTTATGCTAACAACAAGGGATAGATCCCCCCCCCCCCGCCCCGCAGGTGAGTGAGCAGGAAATGCACCTCTACCCCACCCCAGTTAAGAGCAGTCTTCGGGGGGGCTCCTGCTTTAGTCAGCAAAGGCAAACTTACAGACTTATTTTTTTTTAATCTCTGCTATCACACCAAGGTTTTCACTTAGAAACAGTCTTCATGTCACATCTAGGGGAGACGGGGGGGGGGTAGGGGGGAAGGCACCAGTTGGAAATCTTGGGCTATCCGGTACTTGTCCACTTGCGACTTCTCGCCATCAGGAGACTGAAAAAGCTGTGATTTGGGGGTGGGGGAGACACCCCAAAGTCGGCAAATCCGAACGAGAAGAAAAGGGCATAAAGTCACCAACACGTCGATCTTTCAGAGAGGGTGCAACTCAAATCACCCTAAAATCAAGCTCATCCGCCACCCGGGGTCCGGGGATCCGTGTTTGGGGAGCCCTGGGCGGCGGGACGCGTTTGCTCGGGTTACTTCCCCGGGTGCAGACCTGGCGCTGACCCCGGAGGGGTGGAGAGATGGGTGGGGAAGACGGGTTTTCCTAGTGCGGCTCCCGAAGGGTCCGCTCTTTCCGGAGAGGGGTGGGGCCGCCTCTAGTGGGGCCCAGGGGCGTGTCGCCCGCCTCCGGGGCTGGCCCGCTCCGACCTCCACCGCGGAGTCCCGGGACCCATCTTCAACTTCCTCTTCTTACCCGAGAGGAGGCGTCGCGGGGCGCAGCTGGGACCGAGAGAAGGGACCCGGCCAGCTGTGGCCGCCGCCGCCGGCCGCGATCGCGGGGCAGAGCGGCGGGGGTGCGCGATCGATTCCTCCCCTGGCCGTCGCGCGGCTGACTCTCCGCGGGATCGCCGGGCCCCGAACTCCCGGGACGCTCCGGACGAATCGGAATCGGAAACCGAAAGCGCGCGCGCCCCGCGCCCGGCACCGCCCGCGCCCGGCCCGGGAACCCGGCTAAGTTTCGATTCTCCGTCCCCGCGCGAGTCCCCGCGCGAGTGTCCGTCATGGCGGACCCAGAGGTGTGCAGCTTCATCGTCAAGGTCCTGTGCGCCCACGGGGGCCGCATGACTCTGGACGCGCTCCTGGAGGAGATCGCGCTCTCCCAGGGCCAGCTCCGCCAGGTGCTGGAGGACGCCGGGCCCGACCGCTTCGTGCTGCTCCAGACCCGCAGCAGCACCGGCAGCACCTGGTCAGTGGTGGCCAACACTCGAGCCCGCGTCTGCCGTCGCAAGTACTGCGAGCGAGGCTGCGACAACCTGCACCTCTGCAAGCTCAACCTGCTGGGCCGGTGCCACTACACGCAGGCGGATCGGTGAGTGCTCGGGCGGGCCCGCGCCTTTTCGCCTCTGCGAGGGGTCCCCTGCCGATCGGCCAGAGCCACACTTCCCTGGGGGGTGGGAGGCAGATCTCGGGTTAGCTGGCGTCGTTTCCTCCTTTACTCGGGTCCCGGAACGGGTGGAGATCCTCCCAGATCGCCAGCAGCACTACCCCGGACCGGCGTCGGTCCACACCGCACGTAGCCGCTCAGCCGCGGCTCCTCCTGACGGCCGCCGGGCCGGCAAGGCCCTTTTCAGAGTGACCCGAGATAAAAGCCCCCTCGCCCCCTTCCCGGGCCGGCCCGCACGGGGGGCCAGCCCCGTGCGCCCTCCCCAGGACCACCCTCCAGCCCACGCTTCCCCCGCGGTCGCCCTCTGCTCTTGAAGCTCTTATTTTGATTTTTTTTTCCATCATTTTTGTGCTGCTCCCAGGTCTTGAACCCAGGGCCTCCAGCTCCTGCTTAGCTTTTCTTCCCCTCCCCCCCCCCCCGCCCCAAGGCTGGAGCTCTATCACTTCGATTCCCACCTCCCCTCCTGGCTTCTGGCTGGTTAATTGTGGAGATTAGAGTCTCCTGAGTGGCTGGGGTGACAGACCTGAGCCACCGGTGCCTGGCAAGCCTTGTGATTCAGTTCTTCCTGGAGCGCTGGCCCCACGTACCCAAGGCCTGGGGTCATCTCCAGCATTGTTAAACAACTACAAAAAGGAGTCAAACATCGGGTGAGGGGTTTACACGTCACACACCTAGGATGGTGACACCGATGATGGCGTGACAAGTAGATGGTGATGACAAGATGGCTTCCAAATACTTGCTGCTCAGGCCTGCTCTCTTGGATTCCGGGGTCCGAGGAATTGAGCAATCTTGTGACCACACTGGTCAGCTCCCTCCGGGCAGGCTTTCCGACCTGTACTCCAGTTTCTTCTCCTCCCTCCTATCTTCCTCTTTCCTTCTCCTCCTGTCTGCCCCTCCCCCTCCTTTTCTTCCTACCCCCCTTCTCCTCCACCCCTGTCTTTCCCTTCCCCTCCCTTCCTTCTCCCCATCTTCCCCTCCCCCTTCTTCTCTGCCTCCTTCCCCCTCCTCCCCCTTCTCCCTTTCTCCTCCCCTCCTTCTCCTCCTTTCTTCTGCTCCTCCCGTTCCTCTTCTTTCTCTTCCTCCTCCTCCACTCCTATTAGTAACCCAGTCCTGCAACAAAGTGTCTTTTCCTCTGCCCCATCCTCCTTTCCATCTTACTTGAGATTGAAAGGCTCATTAATGAATCTCTGTCCTTCACATCTTTTCTGTCTGTAGGTTCTATCTACTCAAAAAGGAAAACAGCCACAATATAGGTAACTGATAAAGGTAAAACGTTTGTCCTTAAAAACTTTAGGTGAAGCTGGGCACTGGTGGCTCACACCTGTAATCCCAGCTATTCAGGAGGCTGAGATCTGAGGATCAGGGTTCTAAGCCAGCCTCTGAAGAAAAGTCTCCACGAGACTCCTATCTCCAATAAACTACTCAAAAAAAGCTGGCAGTAGCCTTGTGGCTCAAGTTATAGGGTGCTAGCCTTGAGCATAAAGAGGCTCAGAGACCTGTGCCTAGACCCCAGGGCCAGGAAAAAAAAAAAAAAAGCTTTAGATGGTGCCCAGTATTCAAAAAGATGGTCATCAAACAGTTGGTCATGAACTTACTAGCAAAAAACCTAGTTTCTCACTTTAATTTGTGTGTAATAAAACATACAAAGAGTTTTAAATAGATGGAGTGGATGAGGTGATCTTTTTTTTTTCCCCCAAGAAATTTACTAGATTAGAATGCTTAAAAAGAAAACTCTTAATTCTTTTAGTTGCTAGGATGGACTCTCCTAATAAAATATGTATTTAATATGTTGTGGCTGGGGGCCAGTGGGTGGCTCACGCCGTAATCCTAGCTACTCAGGAGGCTGAGATCTAAGGATTGTGGTTTAAAAGCCCCCCCCCACTGTTATCTCTAATTAATTACCTGAAAAACAGAAGTGGAACTGTTGCTCAAAAGTGGCAAACTGCTACTCTTGAGCACAAAAGCTCAGTGTTAATGCTCAGACCCTGAGTTCAAGCCCCATGAAAAAAGAAAAAATGTATTTCTGAGTTGCCAGAACTTGTATCTAGAAGGCAACTAAGTTACCAGCAATTCCATTAAGCAGGAAAAGGAGACTGGGTAGAGGAAAGGAAAGAACATTCTAGCACATTCTTCTACTGTTGTGAGTAACAACCAGTCTCAAGGTTTCCTTGTTTTGTTGTTGTTGTTTTTGTTTTGAAAATTCTTTCACCAACCAATGTTGACTTTTGGTTTTACAAGCCTTTTTCTCAGTTTTTTTTTTTTGGGGGGGGGAAGTCAGTCATAGGGCCTGAACTTGGCCTGGGCATTGTCCATCAGCTCTTCAGCTCAAGGCTAGCCCTCTACCACTTGAGCCACAGTGCTACTTCTGGGTTTTCCTGCTTATGTGGTGCTGAGGAATGGAACCCAGGGGCCTAATGCATGCAAGGCAAGCACTCTACCACTGAGCCACCTTCCCAGCCCCATGCCCATCATTTTGACTCATCAGTTTTCAAAATATGGCTGGTCTTGTTTATTTTGCCTTCTCTGCACTATCCTGAACTCAATGAGTTATTTTTTTAAAAATCCTAGCAGTCATTTACTTCATAATTTCTTTGGTAATTATATCTAACAGATAAAAATCTATGTTTTTTTAGAGTAATCATAGTACACCTACTTTTTTTTTTTCTTTCGGATCTTGGGGCTTGAACTCAGGGAGTTGGTGCTGTCTCTGAAATTTTTTGCACCAGGCTGGTGCTCTGCCACTTGAGCCACAGCTCTACTTTGTGCTTTTTGGTATTTAATTGGAGATAAAAGTCTCATGGACTTTCCTGCTCAGGGTGACTTTGAACCTCCGTCCTCAGATCTCAACCACCTGAGTAGTTAGGATTACAGGTCCAAGTCACCAGCTCCTGGACTTAGACAGGATTTTGTTCTGTCCTGTAATTTCTGTCTGTTCTTTTTCTTTTCTTTTTTTTCCCCCCTGCTTTTGCAATGCTTTAACCTGTACTTTTCAGTTGATAATCAGGGCTCGCTTAGGTGTTATAGAATTGTTTCTCTTCGGGCTGGGAAGGTGGCTTAGTGGTAGAGTGCTTGCCTTACATGCATGAGGCCCTGGGTTGGATTCCTCAGCACCACATAAGCAGAAAAAGCTCCAAGTGGTGCTGTGGCTCAAGTGGTAGAGCACTAGCCTTGAGCTGAAGAGCTGAGGGACGGTGCCCAGGCCCAGAGTTCAGGCACCATGATTGGCAAAAAAAAACAACAACAAAAATTGTTTCTCTTGGTACATTAGTTTTGATATTAAATTTTGCTGTGCTGAAATAATATTCCCACATATGGAAATCAAACTCCAGCTCTGACATCAATAACTACCACTTATTGAACAAATCATTAAGTACTAAGCTCTGAGATAAGCTTGTTAGAGATGTTATCTCAATTCATCAAAGTGAGTGTGATCTAGGAAGTGTGATCTCCCATCAGTTCAGGTTATTGTTTTTGCAAGCACCATTGATGGTTAACTGTTTCAAGTCAGCTGGTGAGTGCCTTCCACGGGCTCTGTGGTTTATGCCAATGTGGGTGTTTCCTCCTCTTGCTTTCCTGTTTGTGTGCCTTTGCCTTTCTCTTTTAGTTGAAACGTTAGGTGGGGGTGGGTAAATAAGAAGAAGACCAGTTGTTTCATATATTGAGAGGAAGAATATTGAAATGCACAAAGAATAAGAGAACGTATGTGTACTCTGAATATATACCAGAGAGATTGGGAATGTGGCTTAGTGGCAGAGTGCTTACCTAGAATGCAAGAAGCCGTGGGTTTGATTCCTCAGTACCACATAAACAGAAAAAGCCAGAAGTGGTACTCTGTTGTAAAGTGCTAGCCTTGAGCAAAAGAAGCTCAGAGACAGTGCCCAGGCCCTGAGTTCAAGCCCCAGAACTGGCAAAAAATAACACACACATACACACACACACACACACACACACACACACACATGATATGATATGATAGAGAATATACTTGTAACTCACCTCTCAGAAGTAACTCACCTCTCAGAATGAATGTTTACCTTTTTCATTTTTGTTCCTTAGCTGTACAAAGGAAATACCTTCTTGGGACATGGAGATAGTAAGGATTGCGGTTCCAGGCCAGCCAGGGCAGAAAGTTAGCTGTTTCTATCTCTGTCATTACAGCTGTGCAGGAAGCATGAATAGAAGGATTGTGATCCAGCTTGGGTCTAAGCTAAGACCCTATCTGAAAAATAAGGCAAAAGTCTGGTGCTGGTGGCTCATGCCTGGAATCCTAGTTACCCAGGAGGCTGAGGTCTGAGGATCTTGGCTCAAAGCCAGCCCCAGCAGGAAAGTCTGGGAGACTCCAGAAGTGGCACTGTGGCTTGCCTTGAGCTGAAGAGCTGAGGGACAGCGCCCAGGCCCAGAGTTCAAGCTCCACAACTGACCAAAAGAAAAAAAAAGGCAAAAAAAAATGGCATAGTGTCTAGTCTACCAGGCTCTGAGTTCAAACCCCAGTACTGCCAAATAAATAAGTAAAGTAAATAAATATGTAAATAAAAGTAAAATAGGCCTTGGCACTTTTGTTTTTTAAATTCCCTTCATTTTATTCTCCTCTTTTCCCAGAAGTAACCCCAATTGTGATTTTAGTATCCTGCTCTTTTAGGATTTTTAAATTTCTTCATGTATATATGTGTATCTATTCAAAAGTGAAGATTAATGTGTTCTAGAATTTTTATTCAGTATTGTTTTGAAGCTGTAGTCATGTTGACATTAGGAGCGACTACTTTTGTTTTTCTCCCCTCCCGTCCCCTCCCTCCTTTTTCCCTCCCCTTCTCTGTCCTGTCTTCTTCCCTTCTCTCTTCTTTCCTCCCTCCCCCTCTTCCTCTCTCCTCCCCTATCCTCGCCATTGTCGTGGGGCCTGAACTCTGGGCCTGGGCGCTGTCCCTCAG